AAATAAATAAAAACRAAGRTATTTAARAAAATGCAGATTCCTGGGATCCATCCCAGACCTATTACTCAGGCTATCTTTAGGTGGAAAATGGAGGTCTACATTTACACAAGCTCCCTTTGACTCTTCTGCATAATGAAATTTAAGAATAGTTTATTATTTGGAGCAGCTCTGGCCACCAGAGGTGAGACAACTATGAAGGTTTCTATTCATTTTTTAACAAATAAAAGCAAATATATGATGATATATGAGCACTGAGCTTAAGAAAAGAGAAAATCACCCCTGCTTTAAAGAGGAAAATGTCTACTGTGGAAAATTAGAAAATCGAAGTGTCCAGTAAAGATGCGCTCATCCACATGTACAAGGGAAGCGCCCACTGAGGAGAGACACCAAGATTGTCAACGAAACCTGAAACCTAAAAGCAGGGATATGCCAACAGGTTCAGGAAGCAGGAGGCCCCTTGAGTTATGGGAGTGAAGTGCTCTCTGTTAAAATTTTAAGGCCTGTTGCCTGTGACCCATGATTCTAAGCCTCTTGTCCTTTCTGACTTTGCCATCTTGGGCAAGTTGTTTGCTCTCCAGTCTTTTATCTTTAAAAGTCACTATTAAGAACACCTACTTCATAGGGTTATAATTTAGTATTAAATCTCCAAATTCAAGTTAAGGCGGCCGGGCCTCTGCCTGGCTTATGAAGAAGGTACCCCAAAGCACCAGTGACTGGTAGCCACAGTGGAAAGAGCTCTAGCAGCAGCAGGAGCCAGGCAGCTGCAGTGGGGACTGTGGTAGTCCCAGTCGTGCAGTAGCATAGCACTAGTGAAGTGGTGGTAATAATAACAGTGGCCGAAGCCATAGAAACAGCAGCATCGGCAGCAGAATCCAYGTGGAAATGGGAAATGGAGTCCCCAGGCCTCAACCCCTCCATGAACCATGCCCCTCACTCGCAGCTTTTACCCTTGTGCCCAAAACCAGTGCAGTGGAGCCTGTGAGCCCAGGTGGGCTCATAGAAGGTGGGAAGGGGTCCCCTATATGATWTGCTGGGCAGCTCCTTCCTGGCCTGCTGTTTCTCCTCCAGGACACCCTCTTCAGATGTCTTGACCCCTAGGCACCAGGGAAACCTCTCTGTTCCMCAGACACCTGCTCCTACACAGGTGAGAGTGTGGGCACAGGGCCTGTCTCCCCGCTCCACTCCACACTCTCTACAGAGGGTCTGCACCCTGTTCTTTCTYTGTGCTTCTTGGCACTGATAATAATACCCGGCATGCAGTAGCAACTCAATGAGGTAACTATTGTCTAGGTAATCAACCTCCAATTGATTTTTCAAGATTCAAAGAACTAAACAATTAAATAAAAAGTGATAAAAGCTTCAAATAAATAAATAACAATACTTGGTTGACAAAGAACAATGATTTTGGATTAACAAATCCATCCCACCTCCAAACCTTCGAGAGTGTGTAGGTTTCCAGTGGATCAAAGGGGCAGTCTCCCACCTTAAGGACCAGGAGCAAACTGACCCCTGAAGAGGCTGGCTCTGCATGGGGTATGGGCCAGGGCCATTTCTGGGAACCTGCTTTCATTTCAGGTCCACCCTTACCCCTTCATTTAATTGTTATAAGACCTTGTAAACCTAGCAGTCAGAGAAACAAAGCAATAATTCATCACTGTCTCCTATCCCAGATGAAAGATCAAAACACCAGTCTGGCAGAATAGTGGGCTGCAGCCRATTTCAATTGCTTTATACAGTTCAATGGGGGGTGGGAACTTCCAAATTCCAGAGTGCAGGTTATTTCCATCTTGAACTTACTACTAGACACCAAAAATCATTGCTGTTATTGAGTGCCTGATACATAATAGGATCTAGATAGACCTTTACTTGATTCCTAGAAATCCTTGTGAGTTGTCCAAGGTCATCATTTGTCTATGTGATTTTTCTTCCTTACAATGCTCACTGATCTGTCTACACTGCAAGAGCCACCCAGCTTCAGCATCAGCATGTGTTGTGAACAAGCTAGACCTCAGGCAAGTCACAGCCTGTGTATCTCAGCACCCACATATGTAAAGGACCATAATAATCACAGCTGGTGCCTGGGATCCACTTAAGGGATAAATGAATTAACCCTTGTCAAGCTTTAGGAGCAGGGGGCCACTGCATGGTAGCACTCAGCAAATGTTAGCTGCTGTAACAAGCAGCAGTAATCTTGTCCTTATTCCTGTTGATGAAGAGGTGTCTGATTGCAGGAGCTCCTTTGCTGGCTTCATTTCAGTCCCTGCTCTGCCATGCAGTTCCCAGGATAGTTTTCTAGCCCTACCCTTCTGCCCCAGGCACAGGATTGGAGTCCTGCGTGGGCCCTGCACCTGAGATTCTCCATTCACAACAGGCTCATTAAGTGTAAAGTGCTTAGAGCAGTCCCTGGAATGCTCAAAAATGCTAACTGTTAATAGTGAGCCTCTCTGAGACTTGGTTTCCTCCCAGAAAATACTGTAAATTTGAAAAAGGGGTAAGTTCCCAAGACAGACCACAGGTCATCAGTGCAAGTAGATTCAGACCAGCTGCAGAGTACTCAGCCTGTCCCAAGAGCCAGAGTGGCAGGGCTGGTGGCAGGGCTGGGACTGCATCCTCCCAAACAGTGCTGCTGGGTGGACAAGGGGAGTAGAGAGTGACAACGCCTCCCCACTCCATGGCACCAGAGGGAGAGATAGGTTCCCAGTGTGGGGTGTCATCCGAGTGCCATGGATCACCTCCGCCTCAGCCCTTCAGATTGCTGGTCTTCAGATACTGCTGAGCTCAGGAAAAGTCTTCTGGAACCTGGGAGCCTCCCACGCTCTCTTCAAGCCAGCAGAGCTCTCTGTTTACAATGTTTGGCAGAGAATGTGGCCTTCCCTGGTTCTCGTTTTGTTTAGATCAGATTTTGTTCTATGTTTAAGCAGCGGATTGCCCTGTGTTGCCCGACAGCATCCTATGTCCACACCTTGCTCTGTGCCTGTCCCCGACTCCACCACCAAATTGCTGTGTGTCCTCAGAGAAGTCATTTCTCCTCTCTTGGCCCCAAAGTCCAGGTCTACACAGTGGTGTGAGAAGCTGCACATTCAGAGCAAAGCGTTGCCCTTTACATATTTTAATACCATCTGGAACAACCCAAGCTCTCCTGGCTGAGAGAGCTGTTCTGTGTCTGACTGCTGAGGCATTGGGTCCATTCCAGGTCTTAGTATTTAATCAATCACCTCACCTCGAGAATATGAAAGTTGCTCTTTCCTCTCTGTCTTCCTGCTCTTAATGGGATCTCAAACATCTTTTGCAGATACAAGAGGAGACAGAGGGTTTTAATAAAGAAGCCACCTGCCCACTAAGCTGCTCTGTGTATCTCAGGCAGGGCCTTCCATACAGAATGGAGTGAAGCCTCCTCTTCCCATTGCTGCAGAGCTCCTGGGGTCTGTGTCCTTGGCCTTGTCTCCAGTGGTCAGTTCAAGCACCCGATAAGGCTACATCTGCCACCACCCACAAGCAGGCAGGAGATAGGGCAGTTGGCCACTGCACGAGACCAGGCAGAGTTGGAGCCAAACTGCTGCTGTTTATGAGATGGGATGGCTTCCCAGAAGGAAGTGGACAGTAGCAGGGAGTGGTGACTGAAGCACCTTCAGAGGCTTAGCATCTAGGTGAGGATGCTACTTACCTGATCCTTACCTTCTAGGAGATACCTTCACACTCAGATCCAGCCCATCCTGCTGGTTGTGGAAGCCTGCATGCCAGTGCCAGGCACATGCAGACCTGCCCTCTGATGTTTGAGGGTTAGCAGATGGTGTGTATGTGTGGTGTGTGTGTGTGTGTGTGTGTGTGTGTGTGTGTGTGTGCGCACGCATATACACACACAGAGTATTTGAAACAGCCAGCTCCTGAGGTCATCCAGAGATGCAGGGTGACCCTGGGCTGCCCGCCTCTCCCCAGTCCTAACCCTGCCCACCCTACCCTGCTGCTGCCACAGCTGCTGCTTCCAGCACCGCAGGTGCTACGAGGAAGCCTCCGAGCAGGACTGCCTCCAGGACCCCTCCAGGCTCAGCGCAAAAGTCGACTGCATCAGCAAGAAGGTCACATGTGGTGAGCATCTGCAGGTGTCCTGGGGCTGGGTGGAGACCCAGGGACCCAGGCCTGAGTGTGGATGAGGGGTCCTGGGGTCTCTGCATCATTGTTGCCATTGGCAACGTCATTGGTAAGGGTTAGGTACSTGAGGCCTGGGTCGGTGGCATCTGTAGCTGGCACAGAATAGATGTGCAATAAACGTTTCTTTAAATTGAAGCCATAGTTGATCAGCAAATTATCTGATTTGTAATTTTATAATTGTAGCAACCCTGGGGCTTGTGAGGGGCAATTAGTTTGCTGCTTTTGCTTTGTGAACATTGGGTCATTGGGTGGGGCAATCACTAAACTTCTCTGAAGCTCACTACGGGGAGGAGAAAACCTACTTCAGGGTTGCATTATGAAGTAAGCAATGCTGGTAACTTGACCTCTGCAGTCACCATGTACACTAACTCAGTGACATCCCTGGAAGTGGAAGTGGGGATGAGGGCATGAGGCCCACGATGGCTGCCGTCTGGAAGAGTCACCACACACAGGGTCGGGTCTCAGCTCTCCACCTTGTCCAGGACCCACATTCCAAGTCTTTGGAAATCCTGGTGGAAGTAGAGTAGGCGAGGGCACAGAGGCAAGGCCTGCTGGACCAGGTTAAGGCCATCTTGACGTGCGCCTGGTGGACGGTCTTTATGCACAGCTGCTCTGACCCCCCTGACAGACCCATGGGATGGGGACCTTTGTTCAGTTTTCAGACAAAGGAGGGAAAACCCAGAGAAATTAAATAACCTGCCCAGAGTCACATAGCTGCCCAGTGGCAGGACCACTGGGTCTGGACCCAGGGTCAGCCGACTCTCAAGTCCAGGTCACAAGGACAGGGTGGTGCCTGGAGCATCAGGGAGGATGGAGGGAGGCGCTGGGTGTGAACCAGCGGGCGAGGGACCCATGTGCAGAGAGCAGGACCCATCCATTGACGGCCAGCCCTGGGTGAGCGCCTACACCAGCAGGGACAGTCACCTCAGTGTGGGGACCTCCTGACCTGCCAGACTGTCTTCACAACTGTCAGACCCTGGTAGTCCAAAAGGCAAGTGACGTGTCAGGTGGTGACAAGAGCTGTGGAGGACCAAGAGTCAGGGAAAGGCAGGGCTGGGCCGGGCCCTGTTAGGAAGGGGGAGCCTCCTGGGGTGATGCGGCTGGGCAAGGAGAGGCGGAGCCGAACCAGCAGCTCCCAGGGCAGGAGAGAGGCAACCAGGAGGGCACTAGGGTGGCCCGAGGCTCCAGGTGCCKGGAGCACTTGAGAAACAAGGAGGACAGAAAGACTGGTGAGGAGGGGTGTGGGAGGGGGACGATCCTGCGACGTTCCCTAGGCCACGTCAGGAAGTCATTGCAGTGTTCTGAGTGAAGAGCCATGCTTACTGAATTCTGAAGTGTATTCTATCTTCCCGATGAGGACACAGAAGACACGGTGGGCAGGGACGGGGCCAAGCTGGAGGCCACCAATGCCATCAGGCAGGAGATGACAGTGGCTCCATGGGGTGGGGTGGGGGGGCGTGGAGATGTGGAGATAGGGCCAGACTAACTCCAAGGAAGGCGGAGCCCATGGAGCTGCCTGTGGATGCCTGAGTGTGAGGCTGCTGTGACTCCCAGGCGGGTCCTCTGAGGCAGTGGCATGATGTGACAGGAGGAAGGTGGCAGGGGTGGTGGCCTCGTGGGGCACATTGGGGGCTCTGCTGTGGGACTCCTGTGACCTCTGAGACCCACTGGGATCTCTCCACCTGCCCTGCCCTTGCTCTGTGCCCAGAGTCTGCAGACCCTTGCAGTCACCTGCTGTGCACCTGTGACAAGGCTGCCCTTGAGTGCCTGGCTCAGTCTGGCATCAACTCCTCCCTGAACCTTGTGGACACCTCCTCGTGCCTGGCTCAGACTCCAGGTAGGAAGCACAGGGCCTGTGTCAGAGCTGGCGTGGGACCGGCTGTTGGTGGGCTTCCCGGGATCCACACACAGCACCTTCAGCCAAGTCCCACCCRCTCCCTGAACACTCCTGTGCACTTCCCTTCCAGAGACGAGCAGCAGGAAAGACACCACGGCTCTGCTGCCTGGAGGTGAGGCCACCCGGGGAAGCTGGCTCTTACTGGGAATACCAGGCCCTGGGCTGAGGACAGCTGGTGGACACCCCTCCTTTACTAAGCCTGCCTCACAGAAGCTGGAGCACCCCGTGACATCTGACTTGTCCCCACCTCCCACAGCTAGGAGATGTGATTATTTCTGTGCAGACACCCAACATCAAATGGGCCCACAGCAAACTCTGTCCCTTGCTAATGGTTGGCTCCACAAATGGACTGTCTATGATTCGGACCAAGGTGTCAGCTTAACCCAGTGAGGACGTAGATCCCAGTTCTSTCTCYCCCCCTCTCTGTCTCCAGTCAGAGCCCTGGCATGGGCATGTCTAGGACAGGACCCGGTGCTCAGAGGAGCAAGGCCYTTCCCAGCTGCATGGACTCCTGGGGACAGACCCAGGCCTCCCCTGTCCTCCTTCCCCTCCTTCCTTGTGCTGACCAGAGCTGGGCAGAAGGGGCAGCCTGGACCCAGCCCAGGCACTTAGAAGGGGAAGCTGTTTTCATGTGTCTTTTCTGGACAGGTTTGATTCTTCATCACGGTCCACCGAACCAAGCAAATGATAATTCTTACTGTAAAATGTGGATCTTAGGAAAAGACGGGAGCCAAGTTTATGCCTGCCAGTCCTAGTTCACCAAAATCTCCATCAGCTCTCAATCCTGGCACCTTTGGGCACCTGGGGATGGGAGGATGGGAGGTCCCAGGTGCACCTTAGCAGAGCATCCCTCCTCTCCTGGGGCAGGGGCCTCTTCCAGAACTAGCTGTGCAGTGTTTGCTAAAGAGCAAACGTGTGTGTGTGTGTGTGTGTGTGTGTGTGTGTGTGTGTGCACATGCACATGAGTATGTGTGTAGGTGTGGGGGGGATATGTATGTGGGTAGATGCTTGGGTATTTAAGGGTGTACACACAGGGCTGTATGCATGCTATATTTCTGTCTTCTGAGTCCACATCCATCACAGAGGGCTTGAGTCCTCTGCCATCTGTGCTGCCTCTTGAACAGTTGACATACTGTAGGAGGTGCTGAGCATTTGCAATCTTCTCACTCCCTTCTGCCCATGTCTGATAGGGCCTACCTTCCCCATCAGAACCCCACCATTTCTGTAGTTCCTCCTGAGCTGGTGACAAGATCACCTTGTCACTAGCTGGGCAGCCCCTGTTTTGGGGGGAGCTGGAGATCAAGGACACCCTCATGCAGGATGGACAGCTCCCCCTTGGCAACCTGTGCTCAACCCTCCCCCCGCCCCAGCTCCATGGTCCCTCGGTCCCCAGATGATTCTCCTTCTACACTCTGTGCTTGGTCCTGACACTGTGTTGCATGGTCAGTGCTGTCCGGGCCTCTCTTTCCCCAGTGGCTCCTGCAGAACCCACMGATGCCAGCCTGACAGCTGTCTCAGGAGAAGGTGAGCAAAGAGGGCTGGTGTGGACCCCAGTATCCTCATCTCAATTGAGCCACCCCCCACCTGCTGGCACCTGCTTCCTTAAAATTTACCCTGCTTGCTCGGTTATGGAACTGACCAAGTGCATTCCAGAGCCCCTGGTTCTTCCTGACCCCAAATCTCCTCCCTCACTCTCCTGACCCCAAATCTCCTCCCTCACTCTCCTGTCCCCATCGCTGGACGACTACCAAGTAAAGGGCAGCATGCCCACCCTGGTAGAGCTCAATTTCAGACGAGCACCTTTATGAGATATGTGTGTTTCAGGGATTGCATTAAACAACACCAAAATCTTATTTCTTGTTCATCTGAAACCCAGAGGTAGCTGGGCATCCCATAGTTTTGCTTTCTAAGTCAGGCCAGCCTGCCCCTCAGGAGGTCACTCTGCACACCGCCTTCCCAGAGTTGGCTCTTTCCCTCCTTCAGAGCTGCTGACACTGAGCCAAGAGGCTTGGAGCAGAGGCCATGCTGCTCTTCCCTCCTGGCCATCCCCAAAGTGGCCAAGGGCATCTCATCCAATTGCTCCCAGACAGCCTGCCTTTTGGTCCATGTTCAGAGAGAAGAGAAAATATCACCCAAGTAACGCCCCACTCTATATCCTACCCAACAACCAGCCAAGCATGATTGACAGGGGCAATTTGCATTCTCTTCAAGGCAAATTCTCCAAACTTGAGGAACTGCTGTGTAATCCTGGCCCCATGAGACCACCATGAAATAACCCTCAACTGGCACATTCTCCAAAGTCTGAGTTATTAAGCTTTAACTATCCTTCTTGAGGCAAGAAGGAAGCACAGGGTTTATCTCTGGGAAAGATGGAAAGGAAATGAGGTTCCTTGAGGTGTCTAAGGCCCAGATGGAGGTGGCTGCTCCACACTCACACACAGGGACTGGCATCCCTCCAGGCAGAGGCCACCTGTTGTGGGGTCAAGAAAACATGTCACACTGTGCAGCGGGTGGGGGAGTTTGTGAAAAAAAAAGAAACAGATCATCACTGTCTTCACCATCCTATCACCATACCATGGGTTAATTCAGGGTACATTCAGGGTCAGATCCTGGCCTCTCCATTTTTCAGCTGTGTTGGACAGGTTGTTAAGGACAGGTTGTACCTGTCCCTAAGTGTGGCATGAGTAGGCCCTGCAGATTCTGGACCAGCCTCTGCCAGGAACCTGGTGTGACTATGTAAAACAGCAAGCTCATGCAACCAATCAAGCTCAACCCTGGATGACCTGCTTGTATTGTATAATTGCATTTAATGCTCAAACGACTCTAGGAAAAATGGTCATAATGTCCATTTTAAGATAATAAATTGAGGTGCAGATGCAGTGTCCTCAGCACATAGCCAAGTGGCAGGACTGGGACAGGAGGAAGGTCCTGTCATTACCCCTAGACCAGCTTCCTTCTGCAGTTGCCTTCCATAAGGACGGCTCCAACCTGGGGAAGTAATGGCCTCTCACTCCTAAAGAGGTTTCCTGCTGGTCTTTCTGCCTAAACAAGTCCTGGCCCTGAGCCACTGGACTGGAACCTCCTAAGGCACCGTGTGCAGCCACAGCCCTGACATGTGGTCATGGCTTTCACTTCTCGGTCCTCACCCCTGGCAGGTGACCTCTCTGGGCTCAGGGCACCCACCTGGATCCATAACTGAAGCTGGGCGGCCTCTTTCCACAGCGGCTCCTGACACCAGAGGCGGCAGACTGTCACTCTCTTGAGGATAAGTAAGCAGACAGATCCTGAAGGAGGCAGGCAGGGTCCGGTGGAGAGGTGCCACCAAACGTGCTCTGTCGCAGTGACTAGTGACCTCATAATGGGGCCCAGAGGAACTATTTTAATCATTTCACAGAATATGCAGGACACTGAGGCTCAGGGAGCTTACAGTTCTAAGTCACTCAGCAAGTGACCTGGCAGGCTGGTCTCTGAGCCCAACTTGAGGCTGTGTGACTATTTTCTTTCATTATTCTATGGTGACACAGAACACACTGTCTTACCTAAAAATATCTAGGCCAAAATTTCTTGGTGGAATTAACCTGGCCATTTGCTTTGCTTGTGGTGACTAAAAACCAAGGAGCCATTATTTAAAAAGTACAAGGAACTGAAAATAGTGACCTGGTAGTCACTCAGAATGAACAAGAAAGCAAATGGACCCCGGGCAGTGGCTTTGCCGGGTGCCTCCAATGTGCTGGTGTATTTCTGAGTCCCTTCCTGCTGTTCGTCTCTGAGGGAGTCCTGGCTGGTCCTAGGCTGGTCCTAGGAGCCTGTTGCTGTCCCCACGTTACAGATGCAGAAGCCCAGAGGGTGGCAGGGGTTGCCCAGGTGGCTCAGCTCAAGTCCTTGCTCTGGGTCTGTAGATTTTGTTTTTGAAGAGATCAGTCTGCCCAGTGCCTTCTCTTCCCTGGAGCACAGTGCCCTGGCTGAGAACTTCCAGCCCGGTGTTCACACAGTGCCGCCATCTCTGTGAGAATGTGAGAGGGAAGGCGGTTTCTCATTTCCACAGAATTTTTCCTGGGCATTTCTGGCTCTTTGTGGTCCAGCAGGACATGGCGTGGTARCTGAGCAACCCTAACCCTAACCCAGCTTCATCCAGGCAGCCTGGCTTGCGCCTGCCCCTTCCTAGCTCGGTGGCCTGGAGAGTGACTGACTCTCCTGCCTGTCCCCCTCTAAAGGAGCATGAGCATGCTACTGCCAGCTCATGGGTTGTCCCAGAGTTAGAGTAAGAGAGTCCTATTGCCAGGTCAGAGGCAGTAAGTGCTTAATAGCTACCATAGTCACTCACTTTACAGAGAAGCAGCCAGCACCATCCACCATGCATCCTGCTGTCTCTGTACTGCATGCTCTCTGGTCAAAAATGCATTTTTTCTTTTAGTCTTTCTGTCCTCCAAATTCTGGAGAAGCCACATTCCCGGGTATTGCAACAAACTCCCCTGCTTCCAGCCCACGCGCTGCAGCTGAATTGACCAGTGAGCCTATGTTGAGGCCGGGGTCCTCTGACCTCTCTTCTGCTCTCCCACAAACCCTCACCACGGAAGACAGAGAAAGGGCAGTAGGAAGAGCACTTGACCTCCTGCACCTGGAGCAGGGGAGGCATCTGGCCCCCAGGTGGAACAGGCCAGGTCAGCGCTCACCCTGTCTCTCCTCTCTCTCCTTTTCCAGAGCCAGGCCAAGATCGGGAAGGCACGGAGGCCACTAGGGCCACACCCCCTCCAGGTAAGCACACCTGGCTCCTTCTTCCTGTATATGTAACCATGCCCAAACATTTATGAATTCAAAGAATTCCAGATGAGACTTGAGGCCAAACCCCAGATGGAAGGTGTCATGGAAGCCAATGTACTTTTACATTCCTGTCCATCCAAAAAGGACACAAATAAAATCAAAAGATTCTTTAGGAAGAAATGGGAGATATCTGGTAAAAAGATGCATTCAGATAAATACAGAAAATTACTTTTAGCTCCATTTAAGTCACTCATAATTCGACAAGACAAAGACACTTTTAATATTTGAAGATTTTTTTTCCCAATCTTCCTCTAGCATATCTATGAGCATAACTTGCGACTGCTTGATGTCCTTGCTTTGTAGTCGAGTTGTGTCTGAARCAGTGTGGGGCAGCACCCTGTCACTGGACATGACAGTAGACATCACATTTCTGTAACATGAGTTGTAGCGCCTGTACAATATCTCCTTATATGGAAATGACTTATTTAGCCAATCACTTCCAACATTTGTTATTATGAATGGTAGATACATACTTTATGCCCATCTGCTTCTGATTACCTTGTTTGGATAAATACGGAGAGGGAGGATTGCTGGACCAAGGGCAGAAGCCGGCAGCCTTACTGGTCATCTGATGCTAAATCATGAGGAGAAGCCTGTGGTGCTGCACAGGACGAGGAAGTTGGAGGTTGGCTTCATCCTTGTACCACGAGGCGGCCTTTTCCTCCATTCCCTTTGCCTCGTCACTGGCTGTGGGTGTCCTGAGCTGCCACCCCTGTGGCCGAGTGTAGGCTCCCATCAATGCTAGGACCTCTGTAAACACTTGGAAATCCTCACATAGAACTCAAGGGCCCCAAGGGCCTGCTGCCATGTCTGCAGACCCAGGTGGAGGCACACTCTCCCAMGCTCTTGTGCTCTGAGATGCCTTGTCCATCTGCAAACCTGTCCTTGAGCTGCTTTTTGAACCTTAACCCTCAAGGTGTGCATTTTAGGATCTGTGGAGGTTGCTACAGCCAAAGAGGTCACCCTCATCCCTGCGGGCCTTAAATCTTCGGGGTTGGCGGTGYCATCCTCTGCAAGTGGACCTGAGGAGGCAACTAGGAAAGGTAGGCAGAGGCTGGAAGCTGGAGGATGACCGTCCTCCCACCCTGAGACCCTGGGGTTAGGCTGTTGACAGGGAACCTGGGGCCACCTCCTCTGATTGCCGGCTTCTGAYGTTGTGGGGTATCCTCCCCGTAATGATCAGCAGAGTGAGGCTCCAGGGCATGTGACTTGTCTGTTGTCACTGGCTGTTGTGAGGCTGAACCTGGGATGGAGCCAGGGCCTTTCTACCCTTGGCCTGCTGCTGCCACAGCTCTGCCTTTGCTGGCCCAGATGGGAAGAGCCTGCCTTGGTCCACACCAGGGTTTACTGTAAAGAATGAAGCGCTTGGGTCCTAATCATCCTTCCCTTGTCCCTCTTCCCACTGATGTCCTATCAAAGGCCCTGTACCTGCAAGGAACCACRGTCAGCTGGGTCCAGAGGAAGCCTGATTGATGTCTGGAGAGCAGTGCACAGATGTGGAGAAAGTTGCATTTGAAAGTTGTAGGCAGAGGAGAGGGTAGGAGGGTAGAGACTAAGGAACAAACACAGGAAAAGAAAACCAAGGGCTCAGAAAGACATGGCTGCCAAGTGTGCTAGCTTAACTGGGCCCAGAAGTCCAGGAGGACAGACAAGACTGTCTACGATGCTCAGCTCTGTCCAGTTATAAAGACCATCCTTGGTCCCAGCAAGTCCCCTTCCCTTAGGATCTCATGGAGAGTCTGGCAGAGTATTAGAAGCCAGGGGACAGTGTATCTGTGACACAGTGTATCCCAAAGAGAGGACAAGCCATAGCCCCACTCTGTCAGAGGTTTCCTCGTGCCACCCAGGGCTGTCCTCGTGCAGCCTGGAACCCTGCCCTGCTCTTGGCAACTCTGCTGACATTCCTTGATATCCTGAGAGTCTCTGTTCCCAATCAGTCTGTGACAGACTCACCTTCCTGCACCTGGGGAGCAAGGACAATACGCAGGTGATGCTGCCACTTGGAGAGATGCTCTTCTGTCTGACGTCCCGGTGTCCGGAGGAATTTGAATCTTATGGCTGTTACTGTGGACGAGAAGGAAGAGGCGAGCCGAAGGATGCCCTGGACAGGTATGGCAGGTAGAGGGTTGCAGGCGAGGGAGACCGAGGCCATCCACAGCAGCGAGAGCCAAGAGGCCACGGCTGTGCTGCATTTGCCTTTGGCATCACAAAGAGTTTCTGCAGCCAATTGGGCAGCTGGGGCGCAAAGGCTAACTTGTCTGCGATTCCTCCCYTAGTTGAAAGGGCCAAGTCAGACTAGTCCAGATCTTTTGATTTGGGAATCTAGCAACACCACAAATACTGCTCAGCTGCCATGAGAAGGCTGGTCTGCAAAGACACTTCAGAGGACCCTAAACCTATCTATGATGCAATGGCCAACATACAGAATTGGGGTCTTCACTTGGTTTGCCCTACAGAAGGTCCCATTGAAATGATCTTCTCCGCAACTTTTAACTGTTAAATTTTATTCCCACCACCTTTGGAAGAATTCTGATTTTACGCATACATTGATTGATGTTCATTCATTGATGTATGTAGTTGACCCACATTTCTTGAGATTTTGCTCTGTGCCAGGCTGTGCTGGGTRGTGGGGATACAAAAGTGACTGCAGCTCAGTAAAGCAATACCACTTATGGCCAATAGAAGTTTGCCTAGTGAGAGATGGAAAATTAAGCAAAAATACCACATGATACCATAAACATAGAAGCAACAGGAAATTATGGAAGACTCCATCTGAGTTTCAGCAACATTCCAAAAGTGGAGCTGATAATGTTTAAAGATAATTGTATTTGGAAATCACCCCGCCCATGAYCAATGGAGCCGTCTACTTTCTAGGGTGCTTGTCCCTGTCAAAAAGTTGTGAGTTGTTGAGTGCCCCTGAGTTCAATCCCTGATACCATAAGAAAAAAAAAATTCTCTAAATCTATGACTTATCCCTGCTTGGTCTGTGGTCTTCAAAGGGAGCCAGAGTCATGAAAGGGCAGGGAAGTTATGGAAAGGAAGGTTTGGGGCAGCAACTGTAGCTCCCTATTGGCTACTTCCATCACCGCTGTCCTAGGATATCCATCTGACTAGGGGGACACCGGAGATTATAAGGCTACATCCGCTCAGAAAGGCAGGTCCAGAAACAAGAAACAGATTTACTATTCTCAGGTGTTTACGAAGTCCTGCTGTACACTGGACGCTGTTCTAGATCTAGGCCCTCTTTATGCTTCAGATACTCACTGTGCTCTCTTTCAGCTGAGGGTGAGTGCCCTAAGAATGCAGGATTAAGAGGGTTGATGGAGGGGGTCACTGCTAGTCTATATGGGTCCTTTGTGCAAACTAAAAATAAGTACCCCTTCTTGAAGATTCCTATTTCCATCTTTTGGAAATTACCATAATAAATATGCAAATCACCCATATTTGCCATCAACAGAGTCACAATAAAAATATGATAAAATTTTTAAATAATAGGGTACATATAATGTGATTGATGCTGCCCTGCAGGTGCCCTGAACAACCACACACAGGGTGTGTATGAGTCAGCCCCATGTGCACAGGGCAGGAGGGTCCTGGGTCCGTGGGGAGCTCCAAGGAGTAAAGGGCTTTCTTGGTCTTAGGTGCTGTGTGTCCCACCACTGCTGCCTGGGGCGCGTGAGGCGGCTGGGCTGCGTGCTGGGGAGGCTTCCTCCGTCACCGGTGGTGTGCGAGGACCACACGGTCAAGTGTAAGTGCTGCTGCTGCACAGTGAGTTCTCAGCTCAGCTCCGCTTCCRGAGGCTTTCCCAGCCCCTTCAGAAGAGGTTTCTCTGTCCTCCCGGTGCCCCGTCCCCCTGCCCATCAGCAGGTGCACATCTCTCAGGCTTTGTAGCCAGAAAGGAAATGCTGCCCTGAGAATTCCCTGACAAGGTTTTGTTCCTCCTCAGTCTTAGGAGGGGAGCCACTGGCTGGGCCTTCCTCCTGCTCCTGCCTCTCCACTCCCTAAGCACAGCGCATGGAGCTCTGGGTGGTGTGGGACCATTGTCATTTATGGATCATGGGTCCCTGGTGCTGTGTGCTCACATGTCCCTCACCCACCTGCTCTTTTATCCACCTGGCCAACAAACCCTCATCAGGAACCAGAAGAGTAGTGAAGCTGCCTGATCCTTGCCTCCAGTCCCTCAGCCTACAGGGAAGATACCAGGATCTCATGCAGCATGTGCTAAGAGGGGTACTGGGCGTGGGCACAGGGGGCCTGGAAGGAATCAGAAGGGGTGGTGAGGGGAGACGGCAGGAGGCTCTCCGGTTCCCATACTGTCATGCTGGGCATAGGCATGGGGAAGGAGAAAAACCATGGTATTCTGTAACGCCCTGAGGCTTCAGAACAAGACATGGGTCTATATTCTGGAAGAGAAAGTGGAGTGGGGGCMTTGAGTGGCACAATGTGAAGAGAGCTAGATAGTCACCAGATCATGAACCTGAAGGAGCCAGGAGCAAGACTCAAACACATTTTTTTCCTGCAAGGGACAGGAGCCAGGGGTGGGTTTTGTACCTTGGAGTGGCAGGATTAGGTAGATATCATGTCCTACTGCTGCCGGAGGCTCACTCCCTCTCCCAGGATCAGAGTCCAGGAGAGCGGCATCTGCAGGGGACCCCTGTGCAGCTCCAGCCCAGCCCTCTGTGACACATGAGCTCGTGTCCTGCAMCAGGTGCTCCATGGTGGATCATGGGAAGTGAAGGCATCTCGGAGCCTGGTCTGGGCTGTTTGGATCCTAAGTGTAGCGTGAAAAGTCAGAGCTCCTCCAGAGCAGAGCCTGGGTGATCTCCTCTCTGCACTGGCTCCTCCCTCTCCTCCTGATTCCTGCTGCTGTCTGTGGCCCATGTAGGGGCCAGTTCGGGAAGTTTAGAAGGTTTGTGTGGTACAGGGTGGAAAAAAATAGTTTAATGCTTCAAGTAAGTTTAGACAGGAAAACACACACACACACACACACAAAAAAAAAAAAAAAAAAAAAACCAGAACTTTAGCCCACTGAAAACTACAGATGACACAGATAATATTTGCAGAAATCTTATCTAAGTCTAGCACCTTCAGATATGCCAACTCATCTGAGTCACACCACCCCCTGGATGGGACTTACGCATTGAAGCAAGAGTAGGCTTTCCAGAGCCTGTAAGAAAAACTACATGAAGCCTAGGAAAATTCAAATTTCAAATATACAGGGATAACTTTTTAAATATATGTCTTAAGTGTTCAAACTTTCAGACATATTATCTGAAATTCAAATTTAAGAGGTCATCCTGTATTTATCCATTACTATTAAAATAGGGTAGACAAGAATCTCCATTTGACAAATGCAGAAATGCTGGTCAGGGAGGGAGGACATGCTAGTTGAGTCCAGCAAATATTACTTGGAAAATACAAGTTGAGGAGTGAGTTACGTGCTCAGACATATGGATTGGTCCTCACRGTGCTGTCCAGCAAGAGGGAAGAGTGAAAACACACACAATTGCTGTGTGATGTGATCATCTCAGAGCCTGCTAGGATGGGAAGAACCATCTGGTGGGTTCAGCTGGAGCCCCAGGAAAGAGACTTCCTTCCCGGAGGCGGTCTGGAGGAGGGGATGCCAAGCTGAGTCCAGACAGACAAGCATGAGTCCACCAGGCAGAAGGCTGAGCAGCCCCTGCAGACGGTCCCTTACCAGCTGGAGCAAGACCAGAAGCCAAGAGGGGGCCTGGGAGGGGACTGGAGGGGACAGGCTGAAGGAGCAGCCAGGAGGCCAGGGAGGCCCTGGGTGCTGTCCCATTATCTCTCATGTCTGCTGCTCTGCTTTTGCCCTCTAGGTGTGGGGCAGAGCCTGTGCCAGAAGCTTCTATGTGCCTGTGACCAGACGGCAGCTGAGTGCATGGCCTCCGCCTCCTTCAACCAGAGCCTCAAGTCTCCAAGCGGACAGGAGTGCCAGGGCAGGCAGATGTCCTGTGAGGACAGCACGCTCGGAGGGTGCTCCACCTCTTCTGTCAGCTCTAGCTCCGAGGAGAACAGCGAGGAGGCAGCACCTGGCACAGAGAGCCTCAAAAGAACCAGAAGATTTCTGGGGAAGGTACTCGGTCCCTTGGGGACCAGGCCACGCCACAGCAGATAGATTCCAGTGGGCAGGACAAGGGTGCCCTGTAGCTCTGCTCCTGCCTGCCTTAACTCCTTGGCCCTCAGACCCCTCTGCATCCACTGGAGCCTTAGCAGAGATGCAAAGGGGACAGAGGCAGAGCGCCTGGCCCGTGAGCATCCCCACATCTGCCAGCTCACACAAGAGCGTGCGCCGGAGGAGGCAGCGGCACAACTTCTGAGTTTCCCGTAGTGTACTTTGGAAGTTCAATAAATATGCCAACCCGTGTTCTGCTTATTTATTTTAAGGACTGTTTAGTTGTAGATAGAGGCGCATGAGTGGAGTGTGAAGATGACCAAAACCATATTATTTCCTCTGTTGTCTCCGTCACCCCACCTTCCGATCCACTCAAGCATCAGTATCTCAACTCCAGAATCACTGAAAGCTACTTTTTTCTTTTATCAAAAAAAAAAAAAAAAAGTAGAGGGCTGGGGGTATAGCTCAGAGGTGGAGTGTCCAACATTCATGGGCCCTGAGGTCAATCCACAGTACCACAAAAAGACAGGTGGGTCTATTTAATCACCTGTGAATTACCAACAAGCTACGAGTGACCTAGGCCAAGGACAGGCAATGACAGCTCTTCTGGTATGTGCCCTAAAGTGCCTGCTGAAACCCGTCTTGGAAATCAGGATGGGTATTGCAGCACATGACTAAACCAGTCAGGGTCACTCCAGGTAAACTGGGCTGGCATGAAATATATGTATTCATATATGAACGGAGGAAATTTATATATATCTAATTCATTCTACTCTTTCCTATTCCCATCCCCGCTTCTCTTCATTCCTCTTTGTCTAGTCCAATGAACTTCTATTCTTCTCTCCCTTTTATTGTGTGTTAGCATCTATGTATCAGAGAAAACATTCAGCCCTTGTTTTTTGGGGACTAGCTTATTTCACTTAGCATGATGGTCTCCAGTTCCATCCATTTACCAGCAAATGCTATTTTATTCTTCTTTATGGCTCAGTAATACTCCATTGTGTATATATACCATATTTTTTTATCCATTCATCTGGTRAAGGGCACCTCAGTTGGTTCCACGGCTTAACTACTGTGAATTGAGCTGCTATAAGCATTGATGTGACCGAATCACTGTAGTATGCTGATTTTAAGTCTTTTGGGTATATAATGAGAGTGGGATAACTAATCAAATGTCAATTCCATTCAAAATTTTTGAGGAATCTCCATACTGCTTTACAAAAGTCAAATCAATCAAAGGAGAAAYTAATTCAAACTAAAAATCAGAAATACATGAAAATGACAGGGAATAAAAATCATTTCTTAATAATATTGAATATAAATGGCCTAAACTCATCAATCAAAAGACATAGACTGGCAAATTGAATTAAAAAACAAGGCCCAACAATATTCTCTAAGAGATTCATCTCATAGACAAAGACATCCACAGACTGAAGGTAAAAGGATAGAAAAAACCTATCATTCTAACGGATCTTATAAAAAGCAGGGGGTTCTATCCTTACATTAGATAAATTTGACTTTATAAGCAGGGGTTCTATCCTCATATCAGATAAAGTAGTCTTCAAGCCAAAGTTAATCAGAAGGGCAATTCACACTGCTTAAGGGAATTATACATCAAGACATAACAATCATAAATATTTTTGCCCCAAACAATGCATCACTTACATATGTCAAACAAATCTTTCTTAATTTCAAGAATCAAAAAGAGCACACCACCATGATATTGGGTGACTTTAACACACCTCTCTCACCACTGGATAGTTCCTCGAAACAAAAAACAAAAAAAAATATCTATAGAACAAAAAAATACAATTAATAATTTAGACTTAACAGACATACATAGTCATCCATCAATGACTAAAAACACTTTCTTCTCAGCAGCACATGGATCCTTCTCTAAAATAGATCATATCTTAGGCCACAAAACAACTCTTAGCAAACACAAAAAAGAAAAAGAAAAGAGAGAGATATACCCCACATTCTATCAGATGATAATGGGATCAAATTAGAAATCAATGATACAATAATATGCTATTGAATGACAAATGGATAGCAGAGGAAATCAACATTTTCTTAATCAGTTGACTCTCCTGCTCTCTAAAACAAGTGTTTGGTATCTTTTCGTCTTTCTTCAAATCCCCAGCTTCACGCTCACTCTCAGCCGATGACTGTCTCGAACACTGAAGGCTTGATATTTCACCTTGTTTTCAACTTAACAAGTTAGTTTGTGGTTCATGGATGCTGGCAAAAGACCTGAAACACCTGGGTCAGAGACAAAGGACTTCTTACGGCAATGGCAGTAACCTGAGTGTGGGCATCTGTGCTGCTTCCCCAGGCTTACAGACAATGCAAAGCTAGGGGTGCAACCCTCTGACTCAGTGAAACTATTCTTCACAGCATTGAATTAGACAGGCATTCAGTACACACAGATAAATGGAGTCAGGTCAGGTCAAGGAGGCCTATTTGAGTGAGTCCAGGAAGTTGGAGACTGTGCCCTGAGGGAYTGAAATGTTAATTCCTTCAGAGCCCTTCCTCCACCCTTAACAAGAACATGCCAAGGAGGCAACAACCTGTTGCTAAGGTAACCTGTCCCAGGGATTGCACCCCGCCACCAGGGGGGGTTTAATTAATGTGTCCAGGCTGCTACACCCAGCCCTTCCCCCATCCATCTGCTTTTCACCTTTTGGCCATCCCAAGAGCATTTCCTGGGCCTAGTCACATACATAGGAAGGAGAGAGATGAGGGGGAAAAGGCAGAACAAAGGAAGTTAGGACATATAAACAGGCCAAACACCTTCACTTCTTGGGATACCAGCATAATATCTATGGACCCCTTGTTCCTCCTGGGAGAAATCTATGTTACCCCTTTTTAAATAGACCCTGCTTGACATATTGCCTTTCCCACTTGAATCAAACCGTGTAATATGATGTATTAAGAACTATGTAATGTTTTGAACGACCAATAATAAAAAAATAAATAAATAAAAATAAATAAATAGACCCTGCTTTATATGCTGGCCTCGGTGTGCTTCTCTAATGTTATACTTTGACATGTGAGGGAGCAGGACTCGTCACCAGTAACCGGGGTATCACAACTACCCTGTAGGCTGGATCATAAACAGCTGGAATTGGAAGAGAATTTTGAGATCCAGAAATCATGATTCTGATGCAATTCCTCCCCACCCACAGTGCAAACTAATAATGAGAGAAATACTCTTTATCTCTTTTAGTTTATATGCTTCCTAGCACATCTTCAGATTTCAGATACTTTCCTAAGAACATATTTTGAAAAATATATTTTTAAACCAAGTAGGACACCACTTTAAACCAAGTAGGATGGCTTTAATAAAAAATATGAACAAAAAGAAACTGTCGGCAAGGATGTGAATTTGAACGCTCACATACTGCTGATTGGAAATGGTGCATTTTGGAAAAAGACTAGCATTCCTCAAAAATTTACATGGGATGTTCGTATTATTTAGTACGACCCCAAGGGATGAAAACACATCTACAAATGTTTGTCACAGCATTACTTATCACAAACTGGCAGGGCAATGAAGATGACTTAGGAACAAAGCACCAAGCAGCCCACACAAGTGAGAGAAACACCCATCAGCAGGGTCTCCTGGCAATCCAGGAAACCAACTCCAGTGGGACAAGGGACTCTAAAAACCCCTTTTCCTGTCCCAAGCCCTCCCTTCCTGCCCTAAGCCCCATAAAATTCCAGTCAGATGGAGCCCCCATGCGGTTTCTCCTCAGACCCTCTTCTTATCTGCTCTGTTGGTCTGATAGAGTTCTGCCAGGGAGTGGAATCTCAATAAAGCCTCCTTCAAYGGTCTTTTWAAATCTGCCTCCTTTTTGGTTACCACCCTTGCCTGACTTTACAAAAATAGAAGGAGAACAACTCATATTGATAGAATGTGGTACATCCACACAATGAAATGTTACTTGGGCCATGAAAAGTAATTAAAGTTCTGAAAAGCTACAACATGGATGAGAATTGGAAACATGCTAAGGGAGTGAAGCCAGACATAAGGGACACATACTAAAAGATCACATTTACAGGAAATGTTCAGAATAGGCAAATCTASAGATGGCTGGAAGTTGGTAGAATCAATGCTTCACTTTTTGAATATACTAAAAAGCCACCAAATTGTGTACTTCAGAAGGGTGAAGTTTATGGTATGTGACTGTATCTCAATAAAACTAGAATTTTTAAAAATTAAAAAGACTGCTCAAGATTAAGTTGACTGCTGTGTTGTTAAACCACGATGCAAAGAAAAGACCACCAACTCCAACTTTAAATCAAATTAAAGCAAGCTTGTAATTCCGTCCGGGACTGTCTCTCCCCAAATCCTTGGGTTAGAGAACAGTACCCCAGCTCTCTAGGAGCATAGTTTTATAGCACAAAAAGTTGCAAAGGAGAGTGTCTTGAGAACTTACAGATAACAGAATTTTGACAAGCATAATACAAAGGTAGATAGTAGGTTAATGATCTAAATGGTTCAACATTTCAAGTTAGGGAGTAAATTTAGCTCCCAACACCAGAATTTATGAGGTGCCACTAAGGTTTCAGAGAGGGTTGTTATCTGGTCAGGGAAAGYCAGGCATGGGTGAGTACAAGGCAYGAGCAGGCATTCCAAGCAAGTTTAGAAATCACAGTAAATTATATTAAAACAGAAATTAACTTTTCATGACTTTGTGACAAGATGGCTCTCAATTTTAAGATGGAATTAGGCTGGGTTCATCAGTGTACCCCAAATCTCAATTTCTTTATTCATTTACACGATTTATGATGACATTTGAGATTACTTTTTACATTTCAGTTTCACAGTAAGGGCATAGAATGGCATTCCTATTCTTTAAATATGCTAAACTTCATGCCACAATCCGAAGTCCACTGGTTTAAGGGGTCTGAAGGTGGAGTGTTCTGGGCCAGCTGTAGCCATCTTTCAATGCTTTCACCTGTCAAAGAAAAGCTTTGAACAAGCTGGACTCTTAAGA